AGCCATATATTACAGCATTACGAGCCATAATATGCCTTGGCAAGGTGCTAATTAAGTTGCATAATTGTCGGAAGTCTGTAATGTATGTAAACAGACAAAACCAGATTTTAAAATCAGTAAATTGAGGGATTTTGCGTGTTACATATTATCGCATTTGTAAATTTATTTACAAAGTGCGATAAATTTAAGCTAATTTATTTTACATCTGATAATCTGATAGCAGGGCCTCCGTCCGAAGCAGCTACTGATTAAAATGTATTCAAAATAAAGGACCGCATCCTAGGACGAGAATGCGGTTCAGCATTTCAGCTCGTTGTCTTTAATGCAGTCTGACATGCAAATTATATACAACAATTGAATACCCTAGCTAATATTTGAAGACATAAATACAGTGACCTAACGCGCGTTCGGTAGGGTTAGGACGAGAACTAAAATAAGGTTCCCCAGTTATTGGGGGCCAGAATAGATAACGAAACATCATAGTATATGAGCAAAACGTGATCAATGACAAACAGCGAATTAAGGGACCCGGCAGTACCAAGTATATCTCAAGACCCCATCCTCTGTTCGTTATGCCACTGCATGAATATCCAAGCAATTTAAATATGACGCGTGCATCTAGTCTAAAACTGCATGGAGCAGTGCCCCGCTTGCGAAATTGTCTTATTTCCTTAAAAGGGTATATTTGTCTCACCAGATCTAAGCCATGTGGCTCGATTGTTGCTGGCATGTTGAAAGGTATCAATTGGCATAAATATAACTTATGGCATAAATATAACTCATGCATTGTAAATGTTTATTTAGACTCTTAATTCACAAAAAAATTACTTCATATATGTTGATATATATGCACATTTCAGCACAATTCACTCCCCATGCATGTAGCTATATTTTGGTTGTGATTTGATTTCTCTCGACTAGCTCCTCGAATCGGAAACGTGGAACGCGGAAAAGTCTCAAATCGTACAAATCGTAGAGACTGTATGAAAGTAATGAAGCTATATCAATGATGTTCATTGTGTGACATTGTTTATTACAATAAAAAAACAAGAGTGTCGTACAATGAACATCATAATATTGCTCCGGGAAATTTAGCCTATAGGCTTTGATAATGCACAAAATATCATCTGGTCAACATAATTAGAGCTGTGGCCCGTGTGAAAAATATAACAAAACAGAAATTATGATTTATATTATACCATTTAAGTTTTGTTGATATTAAACTACCATAAACCATCAAAGACGCCGTCTACAAATTCCGTGTTTTGTGAGATTGAGTTTAGCGCTATGTTTTAACCAAGTGCGTGCAGCCTTGCGCACAACTGGCCCAAGCCCAAGGGCAAGTTGCCAAGCTAACGTGTACAAACATTTAAGTTTGACCTTTCGGATATTTCGCTTATATATATTTCGCCATACTTCATCAGAAAACGAACATTAGAATTTATCTTGCTTGGACAACATATCAGCTGCTTGGGCAACAAGAAAATATTCACTAATTTTTAATTTGGGCTCCTTTATTAGGAAATTACATTCCGGATATTAAATTGCAATTATGCATGGTCATTGCACCTTGAAGCCTGCCAGCTAGAGCGGCAAAATGAACAAATTTGAAATGGCGCCTATCAACTGTTTATGCGTATATGAGCGCGCGGGTAAAGACCTTTACCAGTAATTTCGCGAAGACTAAACCAAATATTTGCTGGATATTAACATCTATATGGAGAAGTCAAGGCGTTTTACCCCTGCATATAAAGGTATGAGACTATACGAAACATTAGCTATTATATAAGCAAGTCATGACTGGGCATACTTTATTAGGCGCGCTTGCAATTATTTCCCTCCCAGCATTGAAATCAGGCTTATCGATGAAATCATCAACAGAATTCGTATTACGGTTGGCTCGATTTAAAGTTTTTTTTCCTTGAGTGTGTTTGCCTGGCTAAACTGTAGCTCTCTATTGATCCATGCATATATCGAAATATGACACGCATTCGAAGTAAGATTTCATATAGATGATCATGCAATTGTATATAACAAGACGTTCTCAATTGCATTTTATGTATATATGCTAACGCGAGTAAAATGGAGTCGGATATAAATGCGCACTGCAATATAATCCTTTAGATTACTTGCCATGGCCGGTGGAATCGAGTTGGGCCACGATCATCCAATCATTCCGAATAAACATGACATGAAAGGTTGCCAGACCTTTAAAATGGCTTAGCTGAGGTTAGAGTAGTTGTTAGCTTGGTGGTTACAATTTAATAGGATGCATTTACTCACATTGAAACAACAATTGTTTGCAAACTTTTCTGACATTTGTCAAAAAATATGTGGGTAGATGCTACCTTGAAATATATACCTAATTATATGATATAAAAAGTTTTCGCAAGACAAAATGGATTGATGCTTTGATGCATGCCTTAATCATCTGTCTGGGGAAATCTTGATTAGTTAATTTTATTGTAAGCAGGCGGCACAAATTGTGTCACAAGTAGATGTCTCGAAGATGTTAAGGATCGGGTGTTTCTTAAAATGGTGAGTATAAACTCCCCTGTGCATGCATTTGGCATTGTCGTTTCTATATGGGCGGCAGCATTGCTATAAGCTTTGCAGAAAAAAATTATTTGCACTCTTTGTGATTTAAAAACTCGGTTTCTTTATGGGCCGTGTGCTATTGCTATATGCTTTAGTAAAAATAATGTGCACTTTTGTCTTGCTGCCGGGGTTGAGTATTAAGTTGCTTTGCAGGGCGGATTTTCGGACCTTTAGGATTGCGGATTGCCGCGGTCGTTTGAAATGAAGATTTCGAAAATTATCCCACTAATTTATGCGTTCTATTTCTTTAGGTCACTATTGTTAGGCTCATGCAGTTAGCTTAGGCATTTTTACACAGTTAACTATGTAGATGGTCGAATATATGGGGGGAATGAATATAGTGACCACCAATAATTTAGTTAGATCACAAGTATTAATTAGCGACTTGTTATACTGGTTAAAAATCATAACACATGCATATGTGATCGTATGGTCACAAAATATGTAACTAATATGGCGGCAGAAATAGCGACATTGCAGCAGGCAATCGACAAAATAGATTATTGTCAAATTTTAAAATATTCTTAAGGTAATGATGCCCTTAGTTGCTAGTGACTTGCTACTGACAGTACTGTGTATAGGCGACATTCCGCGACAAGCTTGACCGCGGCTAAAGCTAGGCTACTGCACTGTTATTTTCAGGGAGTTATTTTAACTCCCCTATTATCCTTTTTTGGTGGAGTTAAAAATTTAACTCTAGGTTTGGAGTAAGAATAACTCTCTTTGAGGAGTTAATAATTTTTAGAACTTATTAACTATGCAGAATTAACTCCTTTTGGGGGAGTTAAGCAATCTAACTCTCTTTTATGAGTTATTTTGACTCACCTATTATCCTTTTTTGGGGGTAGTTAAAATTTTGACTATTATTTCGGAGTTAAAATAACTCTCTTCGAAATATGCAGAATTAACTCCTTTTGTGGTTAAGAAATTCAACTCTCTTTTTGGAGTTAAATAAAATTCAAAATGGCGTGCGCAAGAGGAGCGGGTTAATAATTTATTGTAATTTTTTGTTATTATAAACATGAATGATTTAATTCTGGAGTGAAAAACACGGAGAAGGCAAGTAAAGTTACGAATGTTTGTGCCACTAATATTATTTGACTTTTAAACCTTATATGTTACCTTATATGTTTCTTATTAATCACGATGTGTAAAGTTTCTTCTCACGGCATTTAAGTTCAGGTTAACTGGTTAAAGCTGTTCTGTTCAGCTGTATCAGAGCCATTCCCCCATAATATAATAAGGAACAATGACGGGGCTGACTATGATCTATTGAGTTTTTGAATTATAAAAGTGTTATTTATAAAATAGGCAGCGTTTCATTCGGACATTCCAGTCGCATTGAACTTTACAACTTTTAATATCTTAAAAATAAATTTAGTTTTATGCTCTTATCATCATGCATATTTATGTAAATAATAGACAAGTTTATAATGAGTAGCCTAGTTTATACTGTATGTTTCGTCCGTGAATAACATTGGTGTACGTTAAAAGAAACAAATGATGTTAGAGTTATTTAAAAGTGGGCTATGAAAAGGTGATCCTTTTAGACAATTAATATCAATTTAGAGCTTTTTACTGTTCTGCCTTTTCAAAAATACAATTCACAATATTACAAATGATAATAAGATAAGTAAGGGAAACAAAATTTTAGGCAGATCATTTAACTGGTTTTGCTTCTTAATTCAAGTCTCTGGAACTATTACAATGAAAATCTGGCTTTTTGCTCAGTGATTTCAAAGTTTGATAAGTCACTAATAATTTTAATGAGTTCAATGTGGAACTGTAGGTATTTATCAATGCAGATGTTGCTTGCTATTAATTCACTTGATCAAATGTCTGTTAATTAAGGCAAAACTGACAACTCATAGAAATTTTGTGAGATATAGTGAGAACCCTCAAAGTTTTTTAGTTCAATAATCCAATACACACACACAAATACAATTTGCATCAGAACACTGAAAGTAGAAATGTAATTTAGACTCTACTTAATATAACTGGTCTGTTGATTTAAAAAAATGGCTTTCATATGTTCAATATTAACTTTAAACCCACTTCAGAAAACGAAGGCCTGGGTTTTAGGACCGAATAAAGCTTTGCAGCTTTATTTATATAGATCAATATATATATATATATATATATATATATATATATATATATATATATATATATATATATATATATATATATTTATATAACTATACATATAACTATACATCATTACTTAATACAATGAAACCTAATTTAATCATTTAACAACAATGTTACTGTTTGTATGGATATATGTTGTTACATGATATTAAGTTCTATGTATGATTGTTTGGTCTAGACCAAACATATTGGTTTATTATCTATAAACAAATATAGATAAGACAAATATTATACTACGACACATGCTTAAAGATGTTAGGGTGGGGGCGTGTATATTTTCAATTAGGCAAATATGTGTTTATGTCTTTTCTTACCAGCCAATTACATATTACAACAAAAACTAAGTTAAAACTGTAGTGTACAAGCGAATAAAATTATAGTAGCAGTTTAAAGTACATTTTACACTTAATAGGCAGAAGAAGTTAGCTACGTTGCAAAACTGCATGTGGAGTACAGTACCATATTATGTTGCACATTTCAATTTCTATAAAATGTGCACATTGTCCTTTTTCCACTTCTTTGTTTTTCTTTAGTTCCGCGTGAAAGCGCCCAGACAATAAAAAATTCCACTATATTCTTGTATGTTTGCATGGTGAAAGCAATAAGTAAATAGTGGTACACCACATAGGTATCTAAAGCTGCAAAGCTTTCGGTCCTAAAACCCAGGCCTTCGTCAGTGGAATTGGCCTTTCTCATGATGACGTTTTTGGGGTACTTTCAGTTTCTGAAATGGGTTTAAAATTAATATTTAACATGCATGGAAGGCATTTACTTTAAATCAACAGACCCCATTTGAATAATAAATTTAGCCTACAATTTAGCCTACAACAGTCGCCGTTACGAGGTCTCACGTTCACGGTTTTGAAAAATGTGCCCCCAAAATGGCGACCTATTCGTCATCGTAAGAAAGGCTAATTACATTGATCATTGCACATTTGCACTTTAACTCAAATTTTAACATCATTTTTTAGTCGCTCGTTTATGAAGTTGAACATTTCTTTCACAAACATTTTGTTGATCAATAGAAGCCTTATTTTGTAAATTCTTGAAACAAACAGCGGTGCAGAACCATATGAACAAAAACAGCGATTAAAATTTAACCTAGCTTTGAACAACCGGCCCCTGGATAACAGACCGAAAGTTTCGAAGTATTAAATACTTACGTGGTGTACCTACAAGCTAATTTACGTACTGCATAGTAACATGTATTGAATCATTGTAAACTTGTATTTTGCAGTGTACAACTGGAGTATGGTAATGTGACTCTAACTATTGGTGCCAAGATCATATCGTGTACAGATGTACCTTGTACCACCTCGTCTTCCATATGGACGACATATTTGCTTCGGAATATAGCAGCTGAACTCAGATTGCTTGAATATCTTCATATCATCGGCTGATGGAAGACTAACCTCGTAACACTGGAAATGGCTGTTGAATATGTTGGTCTCCATTGGCTCGACAACAAACTGAATGCCCATCAAGTTCTTCTCAACTATACAAATCTTGTGAATTCTCCAAAATAATGGGCAGTCATGCTCATCATATCCAATATGTACTGCTGCATTACATTTGTACTTCGTACCTCCAATAACAACCCACTTCGCTCTTGGATTAGAAAAGAGGAAAATGATAAAAATCTGTCATCCATGCATATACTTAAGGCTAGATTCCACTCAGGATAATGATCCGTGGATGGGAACGGACAGAAAAGTTTTTCTTTGTGTTAAAGTCATTAGTTCCAACCCAGAGCTCACAACTGAGACAAAGAAAAACTTTCCTGCATGTCCGTTCCAATCCACGGATCATTATCCTGAGTGGAATCTAGCCTTTATACAGTATATGTATGTAAGGCTAGGGATTGCTTACTGAGGTTGCAATAGACCTTTTCCCATTTAGCTTTCAAGCGCGCTATGCGTGACGGTAGTTAATTATCAATTAACTTTGAGTTGCGTTATCGCTCTGCTTCTTATTGCTTCTTTGTTAAACAAAATCGCTCCTGAATATGGCCAATTCACGACTCAAATAATCAACTACCGCGCAAAGGCATTTCGCGCTTGAACGCTAAAAGGGGGGAAAGGTCTATTGAATTAGTTGTTGAATAGTTGTTCTTTTGTATGTTCGGCATGTAAAATCGTAAATTTTTAACTTACTCAAAAACAGAGGTTTGTGGAATCACATCACAAAACTCATATGACTCACAAAGCAAATCATAGTAGCCTAAATTTCCAGCATACGTTTCTGTGCCTAAAAATATTTAAATAAGGAATACTGTAAATGAGTGTATACATCATAAGTGCGCATTATCCAAATAGTGTGGGTTCGCCGGACCTTCATTGGGCCTCTCATGACGAACGGCTTTGTCACGAAATGTCGAGGGATTTTTAAACTAATGACATAAACCGTTCTTATGGGCTTCATAATAAACCATAAAACTGTCACGTTATACATAATTGATAGCCGTATGTAATTAGTGTAATAAATCATGAACGTGTACCTGGACCAATATCAATTCCTTTTTGAAGAAAAGTAGAGTGGCCCCCTTCCGACATGTTAATGCGGTAACATAGCCCTTCCTGGTGCCGTTTTGTCAGAGAATACGGCAGATTGATGAAGTTACCACATGAAATGGCCAAGCGTTTGAAGTACGAGTGTTTTGCCTCATACCTCATGCACCAAATCCTGATGAGCGGTCCCAATCTGTAATCAGTAATCGGGTAATTAGTGAAGGGGTATAATAATACGTTGAAACCTCATAAAGCAAATAAGCTTACTTTAACATAATCCTCGGCATATGGATCATGTAGTGCATCTTGGGTATGATAGACGCATGTGGATATAGTAGCCGGAAATTTTCATGATGATTTTGGATCAGGACTTGGAGATAAGGCATTTGCTCTTTGCTTATCAGCGGGGAGAATATAATGCGCACTATTTCCAGCAATACACAATAGGCATTCCAATGGTCGTCATCTTCTGTCATAAACTCTCCAATTAAAAGAGGAAGGAATAAGCCCAGGCACCACATCTCATTAGCTGTGACATAATAATAAACCAAAATTAGGATGACATGCATGCATGCAGTTAAATAATTTCTAAAAAAAATTCATATTCTTGATATATTCGGTTAACAATTCGATCAACAATTACGTCTTACCATGTTGCTTAAGGCTATTGTCATTGGACAAGAGTTTCTGCCTCAAGATTGGTGCCGGTTTGTTTGAGTCATTGTGGTACCTGGAATATCGATGTATGTTTTTTAAGGATAGTTAATACTTGTGGCATGGTAAGGGACCGTTCATTATTTTTACCTCAGGGGGGGCAAATGAAATTACAAGGGGAAAATCTTTTTTACTGAACTCCATTAAATCCAATATTTTAACACTGTTTTTTATGGCTCTATATGGCTCTATAGCTTCATTGTATTTTCCCATAAGAGACATAGATATCTATTATTAACCATTAGTTACGAATCAATTTTGAGTAGTTATCCAAAGATTATTTCATACTTAAAAAACTAATTTGTGCACAGATTTGGGTTTGGTGCATCAGAAAGATCGATGTACAAAATAGCGACAACCCTGTTACCCTGATTCATCTGACAGCAATTTTAATTTTACACACCCTTTTAGGGGCAAAAAGTTTTAGTTGCCAACCCTATTTCTCTTCGGTGCCCCCCCCCCTAAGGTATCAAGAACGGGATCAGTGCATGTTGGTGGCATTAATTCAAAGAACTAAACTTGCTTTAATCATGATATTCTAAAAAGGTATAATGCTTTGAGACAGATCGCTGGACATGGGAAATCGACCGAATCGCATCAATTACATGCATTTGGTATTACTATGCGACCTATGCATGTAAATATATTCTTTCGCAATATAGCGTATTTACATCAAAATGAAGCCGAAGAATCCCTGCGCCACACCTCTAATATGTTGAGACGTTACTATCAAGAAGGTATAAGTAATAACTGTGTATGCAATTTATAAAATAGCATTCTTAGAAATAGGATCATCCCTGATCTGTAATCCACATGAAATGCATGCTTTCAGGCTAAAGAATATTGGACTATTGGTTTTGCTATTGGTTTTCCAATATACTCGTTAAGCACGTGATCGCGCCTTAGCGTGTTGTCATCAATTATTGCAAGGAACCATATTCTCAAATTTTATATTGAAATTGCTATATTTGACTCCAGAGACGGCACAAAAGCAAATGGTATGACTTACAGTATTCGAATAACGTTAGTTAAATAGAGTTTAGGCTTCAGTGAGTGCATTTTTGACCGTTTTTTGCGAACCAGTTGAAATATAAATCAGTGAATGTAACAAAGCAGTGAAAGCACGTGTGACATTTTTGGCAATTGTTACTTCAAACTATTTTGAGGATCACCTGTATGTAACTCAATAAGTACTAGAAATCTTTACTTTTTAAACCTTCCGTCTTTAACTTTAATATTATTTTGAAATTCGAAGCGTAAATTTTGTGCTAACTTTTATGATGAAATTTATCACTGATATATTTCAATTATCTTATTATCAAAATGCACAATAAAGACTGATTTCTAACTAAGTATTCTAAGGTATTCTAGCTGTTAAACATACTCAAAAGTACTATTAAATACATACCCATAATCAAATGAAGCGATCCTCTTATTCAGCTCATCTAAGGAGAATGTTTTTTCTTCCAGAATGAAATGCTTTAACATTTCCTTGGTGTGGTATTGGAGTGTGCCTTCCAGGACATCATGCATGGCATCAGCTGGTAGTCCTCCAATGACATGATAGTACCTTGATTTACCTAGTACCGATCTTCGATTTAACCCATACATTACACTGAAGTGTTCGGATTGCATCAGATGTCTGCAATGGATTTCATATCCATCTTTTGTTCGTAGTTCAAACTCGCTTTCAAGGAACTACATAAAAAGGTCAAATAATGTAACGTATTAACATGGTGATACAATATTACCATAATTATGCATAATATCTATACCTAGCTGTTTCTATATCTGTTAATGTCAGAGCGATTTTACCTTGCAACTTTGTTGAATTAATATGCAAAAAATGCAATTTGTATACAAATTATCAGGTGCTGTTGTATCACCATAAATATTGTATCACATATTGTATCACTATTGTATCACTATAAAGTATAAATTAATGTTATACTTCAACAAATTAACTGTGTCTATGAAAAGTGCTACATTTTTTTTGCCCATAATGAGCAATTCACTGTATTGAATTTTAGGATTTCCACACCTTTGTTTGTATTTGTTCGTCAATCCCCATGCACTCCCTGCATTTACGATAAGCTTGGGAGCCCTCTTTGAATCCACCTAGTAGCTGGGAACCCAAATTATCCCCCGATATATATCCAATGCTTCCTCGAAATGATCTTTGTTGGCCATTTATTGTAAATACAACACCTTCATCCTACAGGATTGATGAAATTCAAATCTTTAATCCAAAACAGTAACCAAAACAAGAAATTAAGAAATTAATAAATTTTAATTACTGAATTATAATTAAATTTTAAGTGATGATTCAGTACATTCACTTTTCTTTCTTTAGATGATCTGGTCCATACCTGTTCAAGTTGAATAATATCTTCCATAATACGATCAAGAATGCATTCAATTCCATATTTCTTGATATGTTTGCTGTTGACAATTGCAAGAAGCTGAATGGCATTTAAACTTGACCTCTTATCTGGTGATATGTTCCCCAAAGTGTAGTATATGTTGCCTATAATCAAGGTAATTAACAAACATTTTTATTTAATATCAGTATTTTTGTTTCTGGTACAGTGGTCTTTTATATTTTTAATCTAAAGAAAATTCTATAATACTGAATGCACATCAAAATAATTCCCCTGCTCACCTATTTTGTGGGTATTTGCTCGTGATCCTAGAGGATTACAGACTTGCAGTTCATCAAAGAACAATAGCAGTTGTAATGCATACATATCTGTACTGAAGAGTGGATGGGATTTAAATTCTTCTCCATCACAAAAATCACCAAGCAAACCATCCTGACGAGCATGAGGGTTATCAATCTATTAATGTAATAAAACTATGATTATATAGTATTATGGTATCAGATAAGATCTCCTCAAATATTTTTACCTCCTCAACAACAGCTTCATTATTCAAAAGTTGTTGAATACTTTTGATGAGAGGCACATAGTATGCTTTGTCTTCTTTTTCAATATCTACCAATCTGCTTCCCTTCCTGATCTTTTTATGGAATTTACCCATAACAACTTTTTCTGGCTCCTAAATTGTAGGAAAGAAACTTAAAGCATCTTAAATTTAACTATAATGATTGTTTTTTAATTTATTGGTAAATTTACATGCTATTCTTTTCAGGTCTTGTGAACCATTGTAATTTGGGGACATAATGGACTATATAGACATATCCTGTTCTACTTCAGGTACTGTAACTTGTTATGTAATTCATGTCATGTGGTACTGCAAGTGCAATACTGTATGTTATTTACCTGGTTACCTTGCATTTAATACATGTATTCATTTGAAAGCATTAGGAAGAAGTGCCCTTTAGGTTCGGTAGTTTCTTTGAAATGGATTTAAATGGTTTTAAATGCAGCAGAGCTTTAGGTCCGTTAACCTGTGCCTTCATCAGTGCAATATTATTTGGGTTACCAGGACGAAATCTTTGCAGTATTTTATATTACTTATGGGGTTTACCTATACAAGTTAATTGAATTATTTAAGTCCCCATACATGCAAACTTACAAGAATACATATTAATAGTACATTGTAATAATTCTACAAACTGTTTGTTCAATTAGTACAAACACTTTGATCAATTTAAACGTGCTTACCACCATTCCAAAATTATCTTTGCAGTATGATAACTGAGACGCCTCATTATTGCATCCTTCAAATGGTTTTCGTATGGTGTTGTCTTCGTCTCAAGCAATTCTTTTAACCCGGGAATGTTATCCATTGTAAACCGGCATTATCAAGACATTGCCTCAAACCAGACTGAAGAATTTCTACACTGCTGTCAACGATCTGTGTAGTCGTACGCGTAATTGAATCTACGACAGTTTGAGGGACTTTGCCTTCGTCTTTTATCCTTAATAACGACAATACGTTTGATTTGCGGACCTCTTCGACTTCTCGTTCAAAATCAAACTCATGGGCGTCGTCATTATCGCGTTCATGGTCTCCGTTATCTTCATTCTCAAATTGTTGCCTGGCTGGTAAAGGGCCAACTTGTGGAACCGCTTCTGTATTCAGGACGGCGGAATGTTTGCGAAGGATATGGTTTCTGAACGAGAAGAAGTTTTTGTATGTCCTTGGACACCCATCTATCCCGCATAGAACATGGAAACCTCTCTCATCTTTGTGGACACGGCCCAGATGGGACATCAATAGTCGAAGACTACCTGACGTAAAGTGAACGCACAAGTTACAACGATACATGTTGTGCGTTTGTTTAAGAAGTGTGTGGAAGACTTGGAGTTGGATCTGCGTTACTGCGTATGTACCACTGAGCTATATTAAGAAAACGCATGAACTTGAACTTGCATATTTATTGTGAACTTGACATTGATCGACGGACCTGTGGGTGGGTGGGATGATTATGGTAGAACATTTTCTCTCATGTAATTTGAAGTAAACTTGCAGAATTACAGGATCTGTTTGTGCTATAATTTATACGTTCAGCCTTAAGCACAATATAATTTCAAAATTATCGTTCAGAGCAATATTATCTAAAAATCCAGAGAAGATTGCCTTTCTTGGGGGGGGGGCTGTTGGGTAGAAATCTCTGACGTCAAAAGTGGTTTAACAGGTTTTTTGAAGTTGTTTGTGCATCATTTTCTCTCTGATCCTTCTGCAGTTCTGCAAGGTCTTCACACGTTTTAAAAGTTTTCAAAAAGTTATACTTTTTGGGGGGAAATGGAACAAAATTTGCTTCATGCTCTTATTTCAAATGGTGTCAGAGAAAAAAACATCGACATCCTGTGCGATGAAGAGGTAAGCCTTCGTGCTATATGCAATTTTTTACAGATTTTTTTTCACTGGTTTCCTTCCACTAAAGAATATAAAAACGTGTTTGGGGCGAAAAACGAACGTTTTCACTAAGCGACACGCAATCTAATATATAAAATTAATTAGTGCTTGCCGTATAGGTAATATTTTCTGAATAAAAGGAGAATACTGAGTCATCGCATCTTGGTCATCGCACATTTTTCTCGACTCTTCCTCAGACAGTACGGCGTTTTCATAGTCTGTCTTTAATTCTATTTTATTTTCGGCGGTAATGCATACACTTTTCCGTATAGTATATCAAAAAAATACATTGTAGCGCGATAGGTAGTACTATTATAAACCAAGCACTTGGGCAAGTCCTGGGAAGTCGTCGCCATCCGTGTTTTTTTATCGGATAAGCGAAAATGCAAAAACAATATTTTTAATGCACATATTTTTTTATATTTTTTAACGATATCAACTAAACTACCAGTTTCGATAGTTTGAGATCCGATACCAGTTTCGAAACCAAAATTATTATCAAAAGAAGACATTTTGAAACTCAAGCTGCATGAAGAACACATCTGCATGAGTCATGTAAAATTTCATTATAACGAAAATAGTTCCTTTTTAATTTCCTTTGCTCACGATTTCTTGAATTTGATTCAATTTTTCGAAAACAAAACCATGATTGCAGAAAAAAGAAAATATTTCAATCAACGTTTGCCTAGAAAAAAGCGTTAACTAGCGAGCCATACCGATGTGGCGATGTGCGATATGCAGGCGACAAAAGCCGACAACCTCGTACCCAGGGTCGTTCGTGGGTTTTCGTGCTCGCTAGGATTGCTGGCATCGAATTGGCTAGGATTGCTGGCATTGATTTTTTTACTTTTTTGGTAATTGCATGAGTACGTGTTATTAGTTTTATAATTTCGTGCAAAAGTTAAGTAAAAGATGAATGTATTTCCATGTTGATGAATATATTAGTTCAGTCAGTATAAAGTAGTCTGCGCGCGTAATAATTAAATGTAGTCGAAGACAGAGTCATAAAAAGATTGACACAACCTTAATTCAAAAAACAACAGATAATAATGATGAGGCTAGACCAGTGTGTTGGAATATTCATATAACTATTTTAGAGATCCCTTTCGATACGATTACATGACGCTTATGCAGGCGACTGCGATGATTGTGTCGTTGTGCGCAAAAACGTAGAAATGATAATTGATATGAGAAAATTGCGTGTTGAAATGCCGTGTCTTACACTATACACGTGGATATATCAACTCATTTCAGGTGTTTTCATTGGTTTTGACACGACCAAAATGCGACGTATAAACTATGTCTACGACTTGCTGAACCAATAACTGTAGAATTCCAAGCGTAGAACATTTCTTTATCCAAAGATTCTAATACTTAAAAAAGACCAACCACGTACCCAGGCCCAGGGTCTTTTCTCTGTGCTCACTCTTGGGGGGAACAAAAACACCCGCAACGTGAGAACAGAGAAAAGACCCTGGGTACGAGGTTGATAAAAGGC